CCTATGCTTCGGCAAATGCAGTTAGGGCCATATTTATTTGGAGACAGGCTCAATTTTAGTTTTTTTTTCATGTATTTACCAAATTGTATTCAAACTATAGTTATATATGGATATGGGCTGAAAAAGCACACTCTCAGGTTTAATTTGAGGAGTTGTGTTCAACCCCCAATGCTGTAAAGGGCAGGGACTATAGTGTACATTTGGAATTGTATTAGGTGTTGTAACTACCCAAATGCAACTAAAAGACATCAATTGTTTTTGTTTACAGTAGTAAATGGTTCTTTGTGGTTTCTTCATTGCCACAATTATTCAACCCCTGGTAAAGACTCCCACTCTGAAGAACAGAGGTTCATACAGGTGCTTTCCATCAGGTATTGGACTGTGGATGTCACCGAGCAGCAATCAAGCATGCACCAATTAGGCAGCTTTTAAAATCTGTGATACTCAGCTCCTTCTAGACATTTACTGGTGTGGTTACAAACATGGTGAAGGCAAGAGAATGGTCCAGGAAGACAAGAGAAGAGGTGATTTCTCTTCACAGGAAGGGCATGGCTATATTGCAAAGATGTTATACCAAGAGACACCTTAGGAAGCATCATTCGCAAATTCAAGGCAAAGGGCACTGTTTACCTGGTCGTGGCAGAAAGAAGATGCTGACTCGACTGCTGTGCGCTACCTGAAGCGTAGAGTTGAGAGGTCCCCGTGTGACTGCTGAGGAACTGAGAATTTGTCAGATGAAAAAAAAGCCCAACAAAAGACGCACACTGCGTAATGAAGGCCTTTTACCCCCTTGCTGTCTGAATCGACTGCAGTATGCAGCATGTGGGACAAACCACAAAAGTTGTGGGATAGTGTTCTGTGGACTGATGAAACAAAATTAGAACTGTTTGGGCCCATGGGATCAACGCTATGTTTGGAGGAGGAAGAACTTTGCAAGGCCTATGATGAAAAGAACACCTTGCCTACTGTGAAGCATGGTGGAGGGTCAATCATGCTTTGGGGCTGTTTTGCTTCTGCAGGTACAGGGAAGCTTCAGCTGTGCAAGGTACCATGAATTCTCTTCAGTACCAGGAGATATTGTATGCAGTCCGTCACACACCTGAGGCTTGGGAGATGTTGGACCTTTCAACAGGACAAGATTAAAGTCCACTAGAGCATGGTTGCAGAGGAAATATTTTGGAGTGGCCATCGCATCACCAGACTTAAATCCGATTGAGAACCTGGGGGGACCAGTTGCAGTGCGCAAGCCTAAGAATGTGACTTGGAGGCCTTTGCCCATGAAGAAGGGGCGAAGATACCCGTAGATCGCTGCAAGACACTTGTGTCAAGCTATGCTTCACGTTTAAAAGCTGTTATAACTGTAAAAGGATGCTGTACTAAGTACTAAGATTGAATGTCACTTGGGGGTTGAATAAAACTGATAATGCTGTGAGCAACATTTGTGGTTATTTCATTATAACTGTTATGTTATATTTGTCTGACCTACAAGTGCCAAATGTAAGCAAGATGATATGAATGATCAAAAGGCTGCCAAAAGCACACTCAATTTCAGTGGGGGTTGGTTTAATTTTGACTGATATGTACATCCAAATTGGAGGACGGGTTTAGGAATTACAGCTCTTAAGAGTAGCCATCCCCCCTTTTTCAAGGGACCAAAAGTAATTGGACACTTGAATATAAAAAAAAACATAGCATATATACCCAAAAAGGACAAGCGTCATACTGTTTCATCACTGGTCTTTGAGTGGTTATAATGTTCGCCAACTGAAAAAAACAATTTCAGGATGATGCCTGCAGCTGCAGGCATCATCCTGAAATCGTTTTTTTTTCAGTTGGCGATCAGCTTTCTTGTTAAAGCAAACCTAGTGACTAATTAGCTGCAGGATGGCTTTTACAAGCAGAGGGAGAAGATGCCCCCCGCTGCCTTCCACGGCCTTTTCGGGCAGTCCCATGCAATCGGGGGAACCTGACAATGCAGCCGGTGTTTCTGCCAGCTGACCATAGAGTTGATTGGACATCGGAATGGCACCAATCATCTCTACAGTCTTAGAAATCGGAAGCTACAAGCATTTTATCACTTCAGTTTGACAGGATATAAACCGCCATATTTATATTGGGAAATCATCTGATCACACCGATCTTGGTGAGATCGGATTATGTAAGGGCAGAGGCACTTATGGGATATTAAAAATATATGCAGTTTGCCGCCATTGCACGGGGCATGCGCAGTTTTAAAGCATGCCATTTTTGGTATCTATTTACTCGACATACCAACATCTTTTATATTTTACCAAACAATTGGCCAATATATTGTGTTTGTAAAAAAAAAAAGTGTATTTTTTTCAAGACATTTGCGTTTGAAAAATCATGCTTGAGTACTATGTGACATAAAAAAAATTACAGCACTCTCCATTTTATTCACTAAAGTGTCGGCTTTAAAAAAATATATATAATGTCGGGGGTTCAAAGTAATTTGATACTGATTTTTTTCATGTGAACAAAGTGTGTCAGAAAAGGCTTGGTCTGCAAGTGGTTAGAAGAGTGAGTGATGTGTGACATAAACCTCTAATGCTGGGCATAAAATGACCCCCCCCCCCCCATATGAACCCTTTTTGAAAACTATTTTCTGAGAGGCATGTTGAATGAATAGAATAATTTATTTTTTTTACCACAGGTTTTTTTGGAAAATGTGGAATTACTCCCCAAAATACATTCTGCTACTTCTGAGTTTGGGGATACCATATGTGAGAGACTTTTTGGCAGTCTAGCTGTGTACAGGACCCCAAAAGTTTTCTTTCCTCATTACACTTCGTGACTACCTATCTCAGTTTCGGAGGCCCTGAAATACCAGAATAATACAACCCCCCCCCAAATAACCCCCCAAGGAACTTGATTAGAAGCATGGTGAGTATTTTGCAGATCACGTTTGTTGCCACAAATTTTTGAAAAAAGAAGAAACAAAACTTTTTTTTTTTTTCAAAATCTTATGAGAAAAAATTAGATCTGCAAAATATTCACCATGTTTTTGCCATTTTTCCAGAAACATGTATAAAAATAAATAAAATAACTCTTCCATTTACTCCCTTGTGATAGAAATAATTAGTGACAGGTACTCTTTATGGAGAGATGTGGGGGCAATAAGCATTAGATAAATAAAAGCATTGATCTAGTGCTTAAAAAAAAAAAAAAAAAAAAAAAAGTCAAACCGGAAGTGACATCTCTCCGGTCCTCCAAGGGCATAGAGATTAATATTATACAGCAGGCATGTCCAAAGTCCGGCCCGCGGGCCATTTACGGCCCGAGGGTCGGTTTAATACGGCCCTCCATGTCAGTGTGTCAGTGTGTCTTATGGAGCGATGGGCGGCCGGTCCGGTATTTCCACCGCGGCCGTGTCAGAATACCGGGCCGGGCCGCTCAGCTCTGCAGCGGGACCTTACCTGTTCCTCTATCCAGCGGCGCGCTGTCTTCCCGGCTTCTGTAGTGTGGGCGCTGGGCATGACAGCCGGGTGCCAAGTGCGCATGCGCAAGAAGCGGTGCTTTTTTTTGTGATTGGTAAGGCGGTACCTGGGACACATGACAGATCCCAGAAGCTGCCGGACCAATCACAAAGCGCAAGTGCTTCTTGCTCATGCGCAATGGGCACCCGGCTGTCATGCCGAGTGCCATTACAGAAGCCGGGAAGACAGCGTGCGGCTGGATCGAGGAACAGGTAAGATCAAAGAACAACTGCGGAAGTAAGAGCGGGTACCTGTCAAATTCAGGTACCCGCTCCCCACCTCCCCAAAGGTCAGCAGTCATCTGTATTGTCCGCAGTCTCTGGTCATCCCTGTGCTGTCCGCAGTCTCTGGTCATCCCTGTGCTGTCCGCAGTCTCTGGTCATCCCTGTGCTGTCCGCAGTCTCTGGTCATCCCTGTGCTGTCCGCAGTCTCTGGTCATCCCTGTGCTGTCCGCAGTCTCTGGTCATCCCTGTGCTGTCCGCAGTCTCTGGTCATCCCTGTGCTGTCCGCAGTCTCTGGTCATCCCTGTGCTGTCCGCAGTCTCTGGTCATCCCTGTGCTGTCCGCAGTCTCTGGTCATCCCTGTGCTGTCCGCAGTCTCTGGTCATCCCTGTGCTGTCCGCAGTCTCTGGTCATCCCTGTGCTGTCCGCAGTCTCTGGTCATCCCCTGTACTGTGTCTGCAGTCCATTAGTTCAGATTTTTTTTTTTCCTGTTTTCTGCCTCTAAAACCTAGGTGCGTCTTATGGTCAGGTGCGTCTTATACGGCGAAAAATACGGTAACTTGGCATAAAATAATTTATTTGCATTTAATTGTAATGGTTCAAAGAATGTTTGGAAAAATGTTCGGCCCTCCACCATGTTCACTTCATCCAATCTGGCCCTCTTTGAAAAAAGTTTGGACACCCCTGTTATACAGTATTTATATAGCGCTAAAAGGTTTGCTCAGCGCTGTACATTATGGTGGGGGACAGAGCATGAGACAATACAGTAACAAAACAAAACACGAGGGGGTCAAGGGCCCTGCTCTTTTGAGCTTACAATCTAGGAGATGATGAGTGGAGACCATCTTTCCTTCACTAATCTCTATGCCCAGGGCCGGGATCGTTCGATGGTTCCTCAGGTAAGGCTGAGAACTACCGAGTGGCGGCGGCGAGGGGTGGGGCTTTTTCAGCACCTATATCAGTGCTTTTTTTCATATCGGCCGACGGCCTAAAGAGGTGTTTTTGGCCGAAATTTCGGTGCATCCCTATTTTTGGTGCGTTCTGGTGTGTTTTACTGCATTCCAGTACAGTTCTGTGCAGGAAAATTGCAGCCTGTTCTACTTTTTTTTTCTTCATCCGAAATGCACTGGAACTGAAAGCACTGATGTGAACTATGACATTGACAATCATATAAACTACTTTCTGTGCGTTTTGGATGTAGGAAAAAAGTACACTGAAACGCATGTAGTGTGAACTGGCTCTTGATTGTTTTTATTTTCAATTTTCTTTTCTCTTTTAACAGAATGATGGACGCCTACGTTTATCCAAAGCAGGCCTTATGTACAAAAATAACAAAACTGGAAAAGTGGAGAATATTGCATCAGGTGACTTGTCAGAAGGGATCTGGCGTCGTGTGGCACTTGGGTATGGCGTCCGACTGTTAACCCGTACAGGTCATGTGTATAAATATGACGGTTTCAGAGAGGCGGTAAGTGCAGATGGTGAATTTTTTTTTTCTTTTTGAAAACATACTTGGGTAAATTTAGGTAATTTTCCTCATTCATAATGTACTGCAACCTGGATTATGAGCATCTTGATGTACAGTGTAACCAAATCAATCAGTGCAACTAAAAAATAAATCAAAATGGTTTACAATAAAACCAACAAGCATAAAGAATATGGTGTAAAATAGCACAAAGATTGCAAGATGTTCACTCAAAATGAATTCACTTTTCTCAAAGTATATACCAATCTAGTGCAATGCTACCTATACAAATACACATAAATATATTGTCCAATATAAACTAAAAAAATCCCAGCGCCAATCAAAGAAAGTATACAATTATGCAGCTGTGCACCAGTGAAAACCACCAATAATAAATAACACAAAAAACAGCGCAAAAATTAAATAAATAAAAATAATCACAAATAAATAAATGTCCGTGCAAAAAATATATATATAATATTTCAAACATAAGTCCTTATTTTCCCAAATGGATTTTCAAGACAATGTTCCAAAATGTGCTTCCACCTAATCACCACGTGAAAAATAATATTGACCGCACTCACCAGATGGAGGTGAGTAATAAGCCTCATAGGATATAAGGGATCCTATAGCCCCTCAGGAGGAACTCAAATCGCCTTCACCCTGCTTAGATACAGCAATCGACTCCACTCTACTTCTCCATGGAATCCTCAATAGTGTGCAAGGAAAGAAAGGCTACATAGTGTAATACTGCCACTCAATACCATATAAATCGATAGAATAAGTACACTCGCATGTTTCAATAAAATAACAGGCCTTGTTTAATAGCCTCAAAGGCTTCAAAGGAACAAGTTTCCAAATTGTAAATATAGGGATCTCACGCTTTTAAGGATCACTGTAGAGGATGACCAGCTTTCCACCTCAAAAATGGCTGCTTGAACCGCAAAAGTCGGCGTGCGTTTCCAAATACCGGAAGTGACGTAGGCCAAGATGACGGCAGACCGGAAGTGCGTCAACGCGTTTACTATGTTACTATGGTAACATTATACTACTTTGGTCATAGTGAAATATGAAAAAAAAAAATCTTGAAAAAAATGTACCGTATTTTCCAGCATATAAGACGACTTTTTAACCCACTTTTTAACGGAAGGGACACTAAGTACGGGGGCGGGCAGGTAAGTATCAGTTCGGCCGCTCGATGTTTGCGCGGCCGCTCGGCTACGCCTCCTCACCGGTGATTGGGCGCTAGAACTGTAGCTCAGGAAAGGCACACAGGTGGCCAATCACCGGCGAGGAGGCGGAGCTGAGCGGCCCCGCGAAAATCGAGTGAGGGAGTGGCTGGTAAGTGTGCGTGCAGATGGTGCTGCTGCAACTACGTATGCTGGCTGCAGCAGCACCATGCTGGAACGGGTCAGCAAGTGTCATTGGTGTCAGTGGGAGGAATAGTGCCCCATCATTGGTGTCACTGATACTAATGATGGGGCATTATTCCTCCCACTGACACCAACGATGGGGCACTATTCCCCCCACTGACTCCAACGATGGGGCACTATTCCTCCTCCCCACTGACACCAACGAAGGGGCACTATTCCACCCCCCACTGACACCAATGATGGGGTACTATTCCTCCCACTGACACCAATGTTGGAACACTATTCCTCCCACTGACACCAATGATGGGGTACTATTCCTCCCACTGACACCAATGTTGGAACACTATTCCTCCCACTGACACCAATGATGGGGCACGATTCCTCCCACTGACACCAATGATGGGGCACTATTCCTGCCACTGATACCAATGATGGGGCGCGATTCCTCCCACTGACACCAATGATGGGGCGCGATTCCTCCCACTGACACCAATGATGGGGCGCGATTCCTCCCACTGACACCAATGATGGGGCGCGATTCCTCCCACTGACACCCATGGTGGGGCGCGATTCCTCCCACTGACACCCATGGTGGGGCGCGATTCCTCCCACTGACACCCATGGTGGGGCGCGATTCCTCCCACTGACACCCATGGTGGGGCGCGATTCCTCCCACTGACACCCATGGTGGGGCGCGATTCCTCCCACTGACACCCATGGTGGGGCGCGATTCCTCCCACTGACACCCATGGTGGGGCGCGATTCCTCCCACTGACACCCATGGTGGGGCGCGATTCCTCCCACTGACACCCATGGTGGGGCGCGATTCCTCCCACTGACACCCATGGTGGGGCGCGATTCCTCCCCCACTGACACCCATGGTGGGGCGCGATTCCTCCCACTGACACCCATGGTGGGGCGCGATTCCTCCCACTGACACTAATGATGGGGCACCATCATTGGTGTCAGTGGGAGGAATAGTGTCCCATTATTGGTGTCAGTGGGAGGAATAGTGTCCCATTATTGGTATCAGTGGGAGAAATCACCGCCATGCCAGTTATATGATGAGACTGGTGACAGTATGTAAAAAAAAAAAAAAAAAAAATTTTTATTCTTCATTTCCGAAAAATGATGACAAAAAAATTACAACTTCAAAAAACTCGCCATGACTGTTATGAAATATGTCGGACTGTCTACTTTGCAAAAAGGGGTCATTTGGGGGATATCTGTACTGTTCTGACATTCTTGGACCTCAAGAAATTAGATTGGCCGTCAGTACTTCAGGATTGATCAATTTTCAGATATATCCCATAGTTTGTGAACTATAACTTTCCTACAGACTAAATAATAAATACTAATTTGGGTTATTTTTACCAAAGACATGTAGTAGAATACATTTTGGCCTAAATTTATGATGAACAATTATTTATTTGCAAACTTTTATAACAGAAACAAAGAAAAATGTGGTATTTTTGTTCAAAATTTTTGTTCTTTTTTTTGTTAATTTAGCAAAAAATAAAACCCCAGTGGTGATTAAATACCACCAAAAGAAGCTCTAGTTGTGTTAAGAAAATGATAAAAATTTCAGTTTGGGTACAAAATTGTATGACCGCGCAATTGTCATTCAAAGTGTGAGAGTGATGAAACCTGAAAATTGGCCCTGGGCAGGAAGGGGGTAAAAGTGCCCAGTATGGAAGTGGTTAAAAGGGCAGGAATTCATATTTTTTTTAGCTGCAAAAATAAACCTGTTACACTTACCTACAGCAGCCTTGAGCCTCTTCTTCTTGGGTCTCCCGCTGTTTTCTTGACTCCTTCTTCTCTGTCTGTCCCTATAACAAACGCTTGCTATGGAGGAAGATGTGTTCCTAATGGCTTCCGTTTTTGTCTCGAGGAGAGAGAGATCAACAATGTTGCTCTCAGGCACAGTGCTAAATCGAAAGAGGAGTCAGGTAAATATTTGGAGGGGACTGGGGAGAACTGATTCTGGAAGGTTTTTACGTTCATTAATAAAATGCATGAAGGTGAAATACATTATTAGCATTTAGAACCACCTTAGTTTTTACTTACATTTTGCTTGCTCTTTTCTGAAAACTCCAAACATTTAAATTTTCAGTTCACAAAGGATAATGAGAATGCTTTCTATTCATCTGTTAATGGAGGGAAAGTATTTATCTTGCTCTTTGTTGGTGGGTACAGATTGAGTGTCCTCTCACTACAAATTGTTCAGTGCAAATGGTAAAACCTATGTGCTGCTATGTTCCAACTATGGTTAATAATAGGAGAAGAAGATTGCTGCACTCACTACTCTGGTGTACTCACACTCAAAATTCAGTAAATAAAAAAAATGTGCGCTATCTCATCATAAATAGAACCATAAGCTTTAGAAACACAAAGTGACAATCGAAGAAAAAATGTTTTTTTCCCTCCAATAATGAACGTCTAATCCAGTATATGTTGTGTTATCATCCAGCAATAATCAACACCATGCTTGATTTGTGACCCCACTCCCTGCTCACCTTGACCATTGACCTATAGATTATAATAGGCCAAAAACTCTCTTTATAAGGGAAAATGTGTCTCCAAATTTCTTATCTGTGACGTGTTCCTTCTACGTGTTATGCTTCTTTAAACTCCAGATCTGTGCAAAATGAAAAAAAAAAAACCCCCCAAAAAACCATGCCATAGTTCAACATCGTTTTATATAACCAAAAATTGAATGTGTTATAGTATCCACTCAGATTAAACAAATTATATGTAACTCCGAATTATAGTGAACATATATGCATTACTCCACCATGCTGACTATATCGTGGTGTTTCCCATCTCCGGGTAGGTGCACCATGCACTCACCTTCTTCCCTGACCTAACAAATAGGTCATATACTCTCGGATATCCAGGGGAATTAAGGTGTATATGATCATATACACCTTAATTCAACTGGATAGCCAAGAGTATGTTCCCTTAAAGGGCTAGAACTAAGCGTGTATGACCTATTTGTTAGGTCAGAGAAGAAGGTGAGCGCATGGTGCACCTACCCGGTGATGGTTTTTTTTTTATTTGATCAACAAGCGGCTTGAACGATAAAAAATCTTGCAGATCCACACAAGCAAGATGGATGCAAGAATCTCTCCCGCCATGCTATTGTATTCTGACAGTGGGAACTCCACTGCCCACCTGTTCAAAAAAAAAAAAAAAACTTACCCTCCCCCCCCTTATTCCCCAGCAAGTGCAGTGTCAGTAGGTCACTGTCACTTGATACATTGCACAAAAAACCGCAGTATTCGCAGAATCAGGCCTGATCTCTGCTAGCACTTGCCGGTAAATTTTGATGACTCTCATATGCAGCAGAGTGCCAGTATTAGTGCCGTGCTACCTTTTGGTGAACTGTCGAGTACCAGCGGCCTAGTACATCTTGGTCTTTCACGTACCAGTACTGCAGTATCACTTGGTGATGTGGTGAGTTCCATAAGTGCAGTAAAAGCTGGTGCGGTGGCGAGCACAAGTATTGTCCCGCAACCATCAAGAATTTGCACATAAGCCCGTAGAGCCCCTAGTATCCCTCTGGATGTGCTTACAAATCCCAATTGGCAGCCCACAAATTCTGCAGCACCCGTACTTCCTCCAATTCGGAATTCAGGTGGAAACCACAATTTAACTACTCCCCTTGATTTTTTGTAGCTGTTTTTCACGGAAGATCTGTATGCATTAATTGCGGAACAAAGCAATTTTTATGCACTACAATTTATCATCGCCAACCCCAAATCAAATCTTGCCAGACTATTCGCCATAGAAAACTCATTATGGTTTCTGAATTTACATTTTTTGGGTCCTAACCCTCAACATGGGCATTACTAAAAAAATCTTTTGCGGTTGTATTGGTCCACAGACCCGATTCATCATATGCTCGTGTTCTCTGCTGTCATGGCCAGGCATAGATATGAGAGTATATTGTGTTTTATGCATTTCAACGACAATACACTCTGTCGTCCTCTCGAGGTGACCCTGAATTTGACTGGCTCCGCAAAATCTGGCCCCTCATAAGTCCCCTTAACCAAAAATTTGCAGATGTCTATGATATGACAGTATAATGTGTTTATGCATTTCAACAACAATAGACTTTGTCATCCTCAGGGTGACCCTGAATTTGATTGGCTTCACAAAATTCCGCCCCTCGCAAATCACCTTAACCAAAAATTTGCAGATGTCTATACTCCCCAGCAAAAAATCTGCGTTGATGAGTCCTTCATTAATTTTTCTGGCCGCCTTGCATTCAAACAATTTCTCCCCAGCAAGCATGCCAGATATGGGGTCAAGATGTAGACCACCTGTGAGAGGGCAACAGGCTATACATATAATTTTCGGATTTACGAAGGAAAAGAGAGTCACGTGGAGCCCCCCGGATGCCCAGACTACATGGGGATCAGTGGCAAGATAGTTTGGGACTTGGTGTCGTCCTTTTTCCATGTGGGGTACCACTTATACATGAACAATTTTTATTCAAGCGTGTCACTATTTAGACATTTGTACAATCTTGGAATTGGTGCATGTGGCACCGTGCGACTTAATGTGTGCCCACCATTGGAAGTGGGTGGATGCAGGGCGGTATATTCTAATAGTGGGCATACCACACACTTTTTCTGGCAGAGATTTCTTCTCTTTTTTTTAATTCAGCCCATGGGCTGTATACAACAAAAAAAAAAAGAACATGGCATATATACCCAACAAGGACCAGTGACGTACTGGTACGTTGCTGGACTTTGAATAGTTATACCAGGATGATGCCTACAACTGCAGGCATCATCCTGGTATCGTTTTTTTTTTCAGCCGGTGATTGGCTTTCATGTGGCTAATTAGCTGCAGGATTGCTTTCACAAGCTGTGGGAGACGATGCCCCCCCGCTGCCTTCCACTGCCTTCTCGGGCAGTCCCGTGCCATTGGGAGAACCTGAGAATGCAGCCGGTGTTTCTGCCAGCTGACCATAGAGCTGATTGGAGACCGGAATGGTGCCAATCATCTGTATAGTCTAAGAAATCGGAAGCTATGAGCATTTCATCACTTCAGTTTTGCAGAATATAAACCGCGCTATTTGTAAATTGGGAAAGCATCTGATCACACCGATTTTGGTGAGATTAGATAATTGTAAGGGCAGAGGAGATATCTAGAGTGATAGACCCCAGATTTCTCAAAAAAGAATATATGACAATGCCCATTGAAGCTTTATAAGGGATATTTGCATTCCCTGTGATAGCATTAAAAGTGATGAAAAAAAAAATGAAAGGGACAGTGTAAAAATAATTATAAAAAATCAAAATAACTTAAAATAAAAAAGTATCACACATGTGCTATCCCCATACTTGGTAGAAGTAGCAGAATGTAGTTTGGGGTATAATTCCACATATACCCATGACTTGTGTGAGAAATATATAATTTTAAATGACTGTGTAAAAAAAAAAAAAAAAAAAATTGTAATTTTCCAAAAACTTGTGTATGTGGTACCCCACTGTGAATGCAATGAATAAGGATACTTTCACACTGATCCGTGGCCAAAAACCCCCCCACGTTTTAACCTTGTTTGCGGTAGCATTTTTAACATGTCTTGACGCAAAAAATACACCGTGGGTGTGGTTTTTTTTTTTTTTTTTCTTTTTTCATTTTTGCCACATTTTTCATTTATTTCAATGGTCGTTGTGGTGGTTTTTTTTCTTTAACACACCAAACTTGCACCAAAAATTGCAACAAGCAGGACTTTGAAAACACACCGGACCCGCAACGGATCCGTGTGAAGAGTTCCATAGGAATACATGGTCCCATGTTTTTAGTTCTGTTTTTTTTCTTTAGCGTAAAAGCGGAAGAAAAATGGATCAGTGTGAAAGCAGCCTATGAAGGAAATATATAAATAAAAACAATGTAACATTGTGTTTTCTGCCTTTTTTTTTTTTTTCCCCAGGAGTTTGAAAAGCTTTCTGAATACTTAAAGACTCACTTTCAAGTTGATTTGGTCGAGAAGGACATGTGCGTGAAAGGATGGAACTGGGGCACTGTGAGATTTGGAGGTTTGTACCTTTTAACTCTTAAGAAAAAAATTATTGCTAAAGTAATTAGAGTATCATTCAGCTGGTTAAATATGGTAGATGGGCATTATTATTATTTTTTTTTTTAATTTTACTAATTTGATCCTGTTCCCAAACTTAAAGTCCCATTAATCCTTTCATTACCAGAGCCATTTTTTTTGCACATATTAAAAGCACATTCTAGTCCTTTAGATTATCATTTTCATGAACTGTTTGAGGAAAATATTGAGGTTCATGAGGTGGATGCAGAAGAGGATCCTGCAGGCGAATTTTCACATTTTACATTTTGAGACACAAGTTAAGGCTTCGTGCCTTATGCTTTTTATTGTAAGCTCACTTTTTTTGATGTAGTGCATGCTAGCCTTTGTCTAGCTGCAACAGAATTTTCTCAGCCTAAACAAGCTCATATTGTTAAAAAACAGCTGGTGAAATCGAAAAAAAACTGTTTTTTACTTATACATACAGGACACAGGTAGATTTTAGATGACGGAGTTATACACAGGTACCTTCAGGTGACTAGACACTATCAAAAAAAAAACTCTAAGGACCTCCATATAACCCTTCTCCTTCTTTGCTAGCAGCAGGCATTTTAACACTCAGCTGGATAGTACAACATGGCTAGGGAGTCTGCAAGTGCTGGAGCTCAACACATCAAGTTCACAGGGCTCAAAGAGATGGTGCAATGCATGTGTGAACAGTAGAAGGACATAATCCTATTCACCCTCTTCACCTTAATTCCATGGTGAACCTAAGGAGGAAAGTGTCAGGAACAGTGAAAAAGGGTTCTAATGGCTACCAATAGGGTTGGTGGGGTTGTAATACCTTCTCCCTGGGGATTCAACCTCTGATTACTCTTTCTGCCCAACTCGGACAAAATGCTTTAGCAAGGAAGATTTTGCAGCATCCACATCTGCCCTTAAGGGTCAAATCTCTGACCCCATACAGTCCAAGGGCTGTCAGGTCCATAAGCAATCCCCACATCCATCTCTAACAGGATCTGTCTCTGAGACTGCTCTCGTAGGAGTCTTGGATAGTGGAGGTTTCCTCTCAAGAGGAGCCCCCCTTTACAATTTTACCATGAAATCTCAGTGATACAATTTGGTGGTGTTAATGAGTTGAAGACATGTTTGGTGCTAGAATTGCTGAGTGCTTCCCTGCTTAAAGGCCAATTTCACCTTTGTTAAAAATAAATATACATGTTTTTGCAGGTGAAAAAATGTGCAAAGGATTCCAAACCACAATTAGTGGATCACAGGTGCAATGTCAGGCTCCTGCAGAAGTTTTCTACAGCTCTCTGCCTGTACCTCCATATGGACACTTTGTGAGCTGCAGGAAGTGTAACTATAGTATGAGGCTGCTGATCAGCACACTTGTAGTCCATTGAGGATCGCGACTGCCACAGTATTTTATTAATTCCCAGATCGCTGTGAATGAATGATGCAACTGTGTGGGCAGAGCCCTGCACAGCCACAATGATTTTATGGTGGTTGTAAAGCTGCGTTGTGTGTGTGTGTTTTTTTTTTTTTTCATAAATTAACAAACATGTCACACTTGCCTACTCTGTGCAATGGTTTTGCATAGAGCAGCCCTGATCCTCATTTTCTCAGTTACCCCACCCCCCTGCCGATTGCCACCAGAACAAACTGCTTGCTCTGGGGGCACTCATGCGTGCTAGCTCCCAAACCAGCCCTGTATGTCCATAAAACATACAGTGTTCGGCTCGACCCCACACTCTCTCCTCGCTGGCTGTGATTGACAACAGCAGGAGCCAATGGCTTCCGCTGCGGTGTCTCAGACAATGAGGAGAGCGGGACCAGGGATAGCCGAGGTTTTTCTGCAAAGCACTGGATCGCAGTCAGGTCAGATAGGTATTTGTGGGGTGGGGCTGAGGAGGGGACTGCACACTGAAGGTTTTTTACCTTCATAAATAGAATGCATGAAGGTAAAAAACCTTCAGCTTTTAGAACCATTTTAAATTTTGTTTGGCGGAATTGACTGGAGAGTATTTCCTTTCATGGGAGGATGTCTCCTCTGTGAGTAATGCGACTCTTTTATCAAAAAGGTGGGTAAGATTACCCTTTGCCTAGTAAACAGAAGGCTAAGATCTCCAAATAAATATATTTTAGGTGCATAAATCCAAAATCAAATGTGCAAGTGAAAAAAAAAAAATGTCCTTCTTTTCATTGAATTTCAGTATAAAATTAATTCCACCACGTGCAAAATAATATCAACCGCACTCACCAGATGTAGGTGAGTAATGAGCCTTATAGGATATAAGAGATCCTAAGCCCTCTAGGTAAGATCAAAACTTCTTATTCACCATTGATGGGGATAAAACGCCTCCACTTTATTCTTCCATAAAATCCTCAATATTGCAGAGAAAAAAAGAAACCACATAGTGTAATACTGCCGTATACTCATAAATAAAAGGATAAATTCAGGCCACTCACATGGTCAAATATAATAAAAAAGCCTTGTTTAATCGCCTGTATGGCTTAAAAGCATCCAAGTTCCACACTCAGAAAGATACCTAAGGATCTCACGCTTCAGTTGGATAGTAGAGGATGATCAGCCTTCCCCCTCTAAAGATGGCCGCTTGGAACGCACTCGGCTTGCGTTCCAAACATCGGAAGTGACGTAGACCCAAATGACGGCGGACCGGAAGTACGTCAACGCGTTTCGCCCCTCCCACAGGGCGTTATCAAGACACCACCTTCAGTCACTCACCGACATTTTTATACAGCTCATGGAGAGCTCAATTCCATCTGGTATGCAAATGTCCTTATAGTAACCCCCACTGCACCGCATTGTTTGTGAGTCATTCACATCAATGCTAACACCCACCGCCCACTCCCCATAGCTCATCCTCTGCAACTAATCGTGAGATCCCTTTACAATAAATGGGTTACAAATACAAAACATTCTTTATTTGAAATAATGAAATATATATTAAATAAAAAATAGAAATAAATTAAAATAACAAGTAAAGATATTTAAAAAGTATATTAAATATGAAAAAATGAAAACAAAATATGAAAAAATATAGTAAAAAAATATAATAAAAAATAAACAAAAATAAAAAAAATAAATAAAAAAATGAAAATAAAAAATCCAAATAAAAATAAGCAAAAAAAATCAAAAAACAACTAAATATAAATAAAAATAAGTATAAATTAAATTAAAAAATAAAATAAAAATGAAAATAAAAATGAAAATAGATTTTAAAATAAAAAGAAAAAAAATATATAAAAAATATAATTACATATTGCACCTACAGTGAATAGAATAACTAACAAAATATAAATATACACATAAAACTAAAACTGAGTCATTCTATTCACCAATTGGACAAGAAACAATGTCAATCTCTGAATTTAAGCCTCTAGGAACCAATGTCCCCATTTTGTATATCCACTTTGTTTCATTCTGCGAAATATCTCTTACCATATCACCTCCTCTCCAAGAATTCTCAACTCTATCTATTCCACAGAATTTCAAACAAGTTGGATCTCTATTATGGCAAACCCTAAAAGAGGGAGAAAGATTGGGCATGTTGAATAGCAAGGAGGCAAAATATTTGGTGCCTAAGGCGCCGAAAGTACCAGTGATTTACCAATTACCTAAAATTCATAAAAACTTGGTGAAGCCACCGGGAAGACCCATTATTAATGGGATTGACTCGTAGGGAGAATATGTTGATACATTTTTACAACCCTTAGTTCCGGCCTTCCCTGCATATTTGAGGGATAGTGGTGATCTGATTAATACGCTCAGAAATATTAGAGAAGAGGCACAGTGTGTTATGGCTAGTGTTGACGTGAATTCGCTATACACTAATATAAAACATGATGATGCTTTGTCATCAGTTAAATGGGCATTGGAAAGTGAGTCAGAATTAAATTCTGACCAGATTCAATTTATTCTTAAATGTCTGGATTTAGCTATGACACATAATTTTTTTTGGCACTCGAATAAGTTTTATAAACAAATTGTGGGTGTAGCTATGGGCGCTAAATATGCGCCATCAGTAGCTAACTTATTCATGAGTAGATGGGAAGGCAGGATGATTTTTGAAGGTAGCAACAAAGAGTTACTACTATATACAGTGGAGCAAAAAAGTATTTAGTCAGCCACCAATTGTGCAAGTTCTCCCACTTATAAAGATGAGAGAGGCCTGTAATTGGCATCATAGGTAGACCTCAACTATGAGAGACAAAATGAGAAAAAAAATCCAATCACATTGGCTGATTTGGAAAGAATTTATTTGCAAATTATGGTGGAAAATAAGTATTTGGTCAATATCAAAAGTTCATCTCAATACTTTGTTATATATCCTTTGTTGGCAATGACAGAGGTCAAACGTTTCCTGTAAGTCCTCAAAAGGTTGGCACACACTGTTGCTGGTATGTTGGCCCATTCCTCCATGCAGATCTCCTCTAGAGCAGTGATGTTTTGTGGTGTCGCTGACTTTCAACTCCCTCCAAAGGTTTTCTATGGGGTTGAGATCTGGAGACTGGCTAGGCCACTCCAGGACCTTGAAATGCTTCTTACAAAGCCACTCCTTCGTTGCCTGGGTGGTATATTTGGGATCATTGTCATGTTGGAAGACCCAGCCACGTTTCATCTTCAATGCCCTTGCTGATGGAAGGAGGTTTGCACTCAAAATCTCACGATACATGGCCCCATTCATTCTGTCCTGTACATGGATCAGTCGTCCTGGTCCCTTTGCGGAGAAACAGTCCCAAAGCACGATGTTGCCACCCCCATGCTTCACAGTAGGTATGGTGTTCTTTGGATGCAACTCAGCATTCTCTCTTCTCCAAACATGACGAGTTGTGTTTCTACCAAACAGTTCTATTTTGGTTTCATCTGACCATATGACATTCTCCCAATCCTCTTCTGGATCATCCAAATGCTCTCTAGGAAACTTCACACGGGCCTGGACATGTACTGGCTTAAGCAGGGGGACACGTCTGGAACTG